GATCACTTACTTATAATGCAAAAGATGCAAGTAATGATAGAATTGCAGCAGGCAATTTTGATTAAAAATCGTTGATTCATACGGGAAATTTTAATAAATTTGTTGTGCCAAACCGGTGCAATCATTCTTTTCGTGCCTTTTTTTTCCTCTTTTTTTTCCTCCATATTGAAATTGAATACTCTTTTTTTTTTTCTTTTTATTTTTTTTTTCTATTATGATTGCAAACTTGGAGCAGGATTAATTTTCAAACATTTTAATTAAAACTAATTAAAATTTGCCATGAAGCAAATGTGTAAATACATCAATAAAACGATTAATAATTATTAAAATTAAACGTTTACGAAAAAATTATATGAAAATATAAATTTAAGAAAAATTGAAAAAGTGATGAAATTAATTGATATTTTAATCGAATTGATATTTGATTGAAGGGAAGGCTGATGGTAGTTTATTATCAGATATATTTATTTCATTTAACAAAATAATAATTGAAATAAAATTGGTAGCGAAAAAAAAATCAAGAATAATTTTGGCATATGTGAATAAATGTTGTCATGATTCACATTTGGCCATCAATGTTGTTAGCCAACAGTTAAGCATAAAAAGTTTTTCATTGAAAATGTTGATTTAATAATAGAAATCACGACAATTGTTATGAAGCAATTTGAGGATTCTTTTTAATCGTAGATTACTTTTTTTTTTTTTCTTTGCTTCCTTCCGTTCTCACAAATTTCAATAATAAAATTGCACAAATTGAGTTTAAATTTCTTAGCTCTTTCAATTTTGAAAATGAATTGCTTCGTTGAAGAATAAGAAGGAAAAAAAAAATCAAATAAAATCATCATCGCTTAATGCAACAACTACATTTGCAAGTATTTATATTTCAGTAAATATAACAGATTAACTTATAAATGCATCATTTTATTAATTATTGATTAATTATTATAAATTGTAGAAGGGAATTAGGAATGTCATAAGCTAATATCGATAAAGATGCTAATTAGCGATACATAAATTGAAATTGTATTGAATAAATTTTCATCAAAATTATCGATATTTAACATTTTTCTTTCCCATATAAATTCATTAATTTCTTCTTTTTTGTCATACAATTGAATTTACAAACAAATTCAAATTCAATGTTAATTATTTCGTTTAATTTTTAATAAATATTCCTTAACATTTACAAATCCCGAGATCTTCTGGATGAAGCAATATGTTTATCCTAAAGATGAACATTTCGCAGATCAATGGTCATCACCATTTGTAGATATTGCGTATTCTTCTTAAAAAAAAAAAAAATGGAAAAAAAAAAGAAAAATGCAACTGAAATATTAAACAATGATAAGATATCAGAAAAATAAAAAAAAAAAAAAAAAGAAAAACGTATTGGTCACTTTATTGTCCAGTCGGTCATCATCATCTTTCTTGTAGCAAATAAAAGCAATAAATAAATAGCCTTCTCATTATGATATAATGAATTAAAATTCAAAATTTAACCCCTTTGCTTCCTCTCTTTTCACGTAATTATCCTTTCTATTATACGTCATCTCCTAGCACACTTTCCTCTTACCCTTTCAATCTTTACGTAATGAACCAATCACTAAAATGCTAATTAATATTTTTCAGTGTTGAGAAATATATATATATTCATTTTATATATTCACTTATCAATTATCTTTTCAATTTTAATTTTTTCATTTTTATGTTTGAAGAAATTGGTACTATGACATGCAACCATTTCTAATATATATTTTATATCTATGCAAGTATTAACCAAAAATCCACTGAATTTTTTGTCTTCATATGTCACTGTTTTAAAATAGCAAGAATAAGTAATAATGATAACGACAATAATATTAATAATAATAATAATAATAATAGTAATAATAATAATAATAATAATAATAATAATAATAATAATAATAATAATAATAATAATAATAATAATAATAATAATAATAATAATAATAATAATAATAATAATAATAATAATAATAATAATAT